GTACCCTCCATTCCACCTATATCCAGCTACTCCAACCTTTAGCCACACAGGCCTCCTTGAAAAAAGAAACCTGTGTATGGATCTTTAAAATTGTTTTATTTCCTCCTCCTTCCCTATTCCTTAATTTAGAAGCTATATGCTGAACTTTTGATTTTTAAGTAAAAAGCAATCTAAAAATGCTAAACGTAAAAGAAATATATACTGGGGCTTGAAATGATGTTTGCAGCAGTTGGTGTTTGGAACAAATTCATTCTGGAAAGGAGAAATTAACATAGTAATATTTAAAGCATCCTTGACTGTTCATTGCTCATAAAGATAAACGGAAGCAAAAAAAAAAAAAAGCCTTAAGTCATGGTGTACAGTTTAGAGTGAGTTTTAATATGTCGATTTTAAATAAGAGTTTTAAAGTGGAGTTTGATAAAATTAAGGTGTAACTCACAGGATTGTAGAACTTATTCAGTTAAGAAGCATTCTTTCGCTGGCAATATGGTCTTTATAATTCCATTGTGTTCTGTTAGTACATTTGTAAATGAAGCATATAATATGAAGACCACCATAAGCCTTCTGTTCTTTTACTGAAAGGACATTCTCACAACAGGGAGTTTCCAACAATATACATCTTAAATTATTCAAGAAACAGCAGTGCAAAATACATTGGCAGCCAGGTTTTACTCAGAAAACTACTCAGGATCAGGAAGACATATGGCAGTTGTTCTATAAAGTGATTATCAAATCACATTACACTGAGGATAGCTCATGTGCTGTTCAAGTCTATAGTCTTAAATTTAAATGGGAAAGCAAGCTACCTCGTCATGAAAAGGTCAAGGGCTCTCCAAATTGGAAGGATTTTCATATCTTTTCACTACAGTTTTGGAGAATACCTAGGAAAAATCTATCAGGGAGCTTCCATTTTGATAGACTTTACCTATTTCTAGTTTCAATCCAGATGCTTCTTTGATTAGTAATGTTCTTTGACGTAGTCATGGTTTAATAAGCTTCCATCTCTGTAAGTTGAATTGTCTGAAGAAAAAGCTTATTAATAAACATTTGTTTTCCCTGACCATTATACAAACTGCCACATTCTTGACAATTCTTACATTCACATTCATTGTGCACATTATTTGTATACAAGAATACAAATAGCTGTTATTTTATTAATAGGTATTTTCAGCCAATCTTTCCAACCACAACAGATTAAATACAATCCTACCCCATATCTTCTTTTAATGTGAAGGGCTGAAAACAAATTTTAAAAATTTAAAAAATAATTTCATGGTGGATGAGCTTCAGCTGAAGAGGCACGACCCAGGCTACAAGATCATAACACAGCTGGCACACTTGTGCATGTCCTTTCAGAAATAACTCAATAGTACATCCTTATAGATTCAGAAAAGAGTTCTTCCAAAGCTGCTTTTCCCTTTCTTCCTGTATAAGCCAGGAAGCAGGTTTCTCCTCCTGCTGAAGCCAAAATAGCCACAGAAGGCAATGATGAATGGCCAGGCCCCTGCTTAATAGGGGCCTCGATTTGCCAACAAAAACTAACAGATCCCTGATCCTAACTGTATCATTGCCAGCAACATCAAGGTGTCCAAAGTTTATGCACCAAGATTTTCTGTCAGGAGAAAAAGAGAAACGATTTCTAAACCAGAACAGCTAAATTTGAACATCTGCCTCCATAATAGGAAGGAAATAATACAAAGGCAACATCCATCCTAAGGGTTTTTTCTTTAAAAGTTAGTGACATAGCTGGGTACAAGATCTCAGGATGATCCTCCCACTACAGTAGTTAGATAATACCAGAGTCGATATAATGCAGTCTTCTGGGCAGAATCTAATCCTGCATAATTGAAGACTATAGTCATTTAATTTTCTCCTTCAGAACATCTTCTATTGCCTATCTTCAGGACATGCATCAGAGAACAATGTAGGTGGTAAGAGATGCACTCCATAGTTAATAAGTTGCTGCTAATCCTATACCATCAATATGTTATGCTGCATTTGGTTGATGCATTACACCAGGGATGTCAAGCCCAATCGCATCGCTGTATGATGACATATCAGGAATTTTTTGCCTTTGGGGCGCTAGAGTGGACTTGGCCTGCATGGGCCGGATGCAGCCTGCAGGCCACAAGTTTGACATGCCAGCATTAGACTGAATAAAATTAAATACTATAGATGTTTTAAAAATAACAATATAGTTAAGCCAGTTTTCCTTGAACTTAGAGTTGTTTCAACGACCATAACCTTTAACCAGCATGGCCTTCTGGTTTAAGTAGACTGAACTAACTAAGTTCAATAATCAGACACTCTATATAGAGAAAGAGGGAATTAAACTATCATATGTTGCTGACTCACATCTGAAGGCAATTTATTTATATTCTCCCCAATTTCAGAAAACCAAGTCCAGCCTAATCTGCATAGGACTCTTAATTCTTTCTCATAGAATAAAAAAGAATGATTCTATCTTGGATGGTTCTTTCTTGAATTCTAAATTTGTCCTCATTTTTAAATGAATACTCTTAAAACTTTCCAAATCTTTCCAGTGTTTGGGATAGGGTGTAAAAACTACAAACAAATGACATGCTTCTGATTCTATATATCATTTGCAGGAAATAATAGCTAATTGTAGTTCATTGCAATTCTTCACCACTGTTCTTTCCATAATACTCTGAGTTTACATTCAACATTCCACTTTGCAAAGAAGAAATCAGTTCCCCTTTTTTTGCAGAGGAAATGTGATATACAAAACTAAAATGATTATGGTTCATCTACACCACTGTGAATGAATGTAAAATTGTGCTGATCTACTGCAGGGGTCCCCAACCCCCGGTCCGTGGACCAGTACCAGGCCGCGGCATGCCAGCAACCGGGCCGCATAAACAAGCAAAGCCCCATCCGCGGGATGCAGGCAGCACATAAAGCCACGCCCCCTCCGGTCCGCGGAAAAACCTCTCTCCATGGAACCAGCCTCTGGTGCCCAAAAGTTTCGGGACCTTGATCTACTGTATCTGCAAGAACTAGGGAGGAAATAAGATCTCAATTTCAGGATTCAAAGGAATATAAAGTAATGTATCCCTCAAGCAATAAAAACAGTAAAAGAGGGATTAAATTTTGGAATCCACTCTTGATAAATGAGAAAATAGTTCAAGGAATCAACTGATAATCTTTTGCAGTCAAGCAATATGGAGAACAAATATTCTAATAAATCCTGTATATCAAGATGGGCATATATTTTTAATCCTGAACTTAATCATGGTGGTGATTATGATGTTGGATATTGCTCAGATATGATAGTCAACAGAAATGGTACTTTGTAGTGTTAAAGATCATTTCTCAGACTTCAAATACAATCTTCAGGAAAATTAATTCTGATTTTCATTATGTTTCAGAAATTATCCTGTTTCCAAAGCCTTGAAAATAAAGAGTATGGCACACAAAGCTTGTCAAAAGATATGCAGACTGTACACACAATTCATTAGGCCATTAAGCTAGTAAAATGAAGACATCTGTTATGCTCTATAAATAACAATGCTGTATATTGGGGAATTATATGATTAGCATCACTACAAATTTTCTTCATTAGTTCAACTTAATACTATAATAAGCCATGGACAGGCTTCAACCAATCTATTTAGTGCAGTGGTTCTCAACCTGTGGGTCGGGACCCCATTTGGGGTCAAACGACCATTTCATGGGGGTCACCAAACCACGCTGTCCACCATTTTTTCCCCTTTTCCCTAGCTGTCCTACTCCCTCTTATTGGTGGCCACACCCACTTGGGGGTCACCACAACATGGGGAACTGTATTATGGGGTCACGGCATTAGAAAGGTTGAGAACCACTGATTTAGTGTAAGTTTTAAATCTGTCCAACCTAATATTTGTAGGTACTTTGAGACTGCAATTCTCATAGGTCACACTGGCAGGGACTGAAGGCTAGTGTAACTTTTTAAAACAAGGGTAATATACATTTTGAAGTCAATTCTTCAACAATTGAGCTAGTCTGAGTAATGTGCAACCCAGCAGATCAACCTTGTTTCTCAACCTTGGCAGCTTTAAGATTCATGGAGTTAAGAAATACTGTTGTAGACAATTGAAAAAAAGAAATGCATTTAATACAGATTTTGATAGCTTGGAAGTTGGATACTGCAACTATTAGCTTTCATCAGAAAGTAACAATATACTTTGACAGCATCTGCAGAGGACATTAAAACAGAGAGAAATATTAACACCACTGCTCTTTTTCCCATTATAACAACCATAAAATCTAAATTTTATGAATCTTAAAGCTATGATACAACCAGTATTATATAGCCAGTGGTTGTAAATTAGGTTATGTAATTCCAGCTTAGCTTTTTCTTCCAGGAGTTTGTTCAATGTAAAATGTTACCGTAACTATTGTTGGCTCTTCAACATAATGTATGGTGTCATTCACTGCAATTGGCAGTCTGAATGTGGTAGAATCTTCTGAAAGCACTATATCAAATCCCACATATCTCCAATTAAAATAATCAAGAAACAGAAAATAAACATGGACAATAAAATGACTTAATTTAAGATAAATCAAAACAGACAATATGGGGCCAGTTATATCAATGGCTTAAACAGACACAAGACAAATCCTTGTACTATATTACCAAAACCAATACAGGAACACAAACCTACCCAAGACAGGGAGGGAGGGAAGGAGTTGAAGAAAGAAAGAAAGAAAGAAAGAAAGAAAGAAAGAAAGAAAGAAAGAAAGGCAGGAGGGAGGGAGGGAGGCAGGCAGGCAGGCAGGCAGGAAGGCAGGCAGGCAGGAAGGCAGGCTTCCTTTACGTCCAGACTAAGACCTGAACTAAATTAACCATTTTCTATTTTTTTTTAAATGTTCAATATATACTGCTCAAAAAAATAAAGGGAACACAAACGTATAGGATCCTATACGTTTGTGTTCCCTTTAATTTTTTGAGCAGTATATACATAATTATATAACAAAACTTGTCTGTTAGGAATTATACAGTATTCTATAATACATCCCAGAATAACATGGGTAGATAAGACCAAGTATGTAAACACATATTTATTTGCTTGTTTCAAACATTTTAAAGCTAATTAATAACAATACATTTTGAGTGGTTAATAATAAATAAATATAGCAGACCAATTCTGTACTATTTATTCACGTAAGCTGCAAAATATTCTCAAAACAAAGATCCTAGATTGGTCCAAAACCACAATAGCAACTCAACATTTAACAACCAGTAAATCTATGAACTTAAATGGACTCCAGAAGATGGTAGAGGACAGGAAGACCTGGAGGAACGTCGTCCATGGGGTCGCGATGGGTCGGACACGACTTCGCAATTAACAACAACAACAACGATGATGATGATGATCTTGTCATTCTCTGACATTTATTTTTGAAAAGTAAAAAAAAATACTATGTATAATTTTGAAAGCTTCAATGCTGTTTTAATTGGAGAATTGTAACTCTAGTTCATTTCCCATTTTTTGAACTAGTGAAAAAGCAAAGTCTCCTTCAGATCTAATAGTATGAACAAGTTCTGTTGGAGCATTCTTAATTGTGATTATTTCTCAAAGTTATATTTGCTTTGAAATATAGATGTAAATTCTCTCAACACGAGTGGAAAGCAAATTACAATCCTTTTTTGAATAAAGGGTCAGATTATTAATAGTAGAAGGAGTTCAGTAAGAAGCATATCATGCTGAAAGCCTGCTGTGAAGTTTGTGAAGATTCAAGAGCACAAGACCCCCTCCCCATTCTTCAGATCCAGCTCACAGCAATGCAGCGACATCTAGTGTTTCTATCCACGGAAAGATTACCCGTCTAAGAAAAAAAATTCAGTGCAAATGTGTCTTCATTTCAGAAACGGCATTTCAGAAAACAATTAAGATGCAGTGTTCAAATCAATTAATCCCTATTAAATAAAATTAAATCATGCAACAACTTACACAGAAACAACACAATAGTTAAAATAATCAATCATTAATAACTACAACAAACACTTGAGGTACAGTTGTAATAGTTTCTCCGAACTGATCCAACTGTGTTCAGAGATACTAGCGGTACCCCTCATGATTGAGAAGATATTCTGTAGAACGTACATTAGTCAGCAGGCAAGAGAATTTGGAATTTAGGTAGTTGTCCATGAGCGAACTCCATTTCTTGGAAACAACAGGAATAAATGCCATCTTAATCTGACCCCAGCCACTCATAGCTAATCCAACGACATTCTACTAATCTGGCTATTTGCTTTATCCACTTCTCTGTCTTCTATTTTCCCTGGTTTTCCAACCCTAATCATGCAAAAGATAATCCCCAGCCTTTCCACAAGAGGCTGAAAAGGTACTAAATAGACATTCTACTCAGAGGAGGGAAAAGGTGGGCAAGATCAGCTGTAGCCATGTGTGGGAATTCTGGGAGTTGAAGTTCAAGATTTCTGAGTGGACCAGCTTGAGTAAAGGTAGATAAGATGGGATAGCAGGATGAGCCACTACGCAGACACTGACTTGCTATGTGTGTTTAACTGTGCAAAAGGTAACAAGCTGATTTAACCATGAATCATCTCCTTTCATATTCTCTTCTGCATTTTCACCACGAATAAAATCCTAACTGGGATGTTGTGGGAATTCTGCACACCTCCCTTCCATAAATATGGGGAAAGCAGAGGTGTTTGTGGAGTAAGTCTGCATTCTCAGAAAGGGCATTTATGATTTTAAGCATCCTTCACCCACACCACTGCCTAAATTTTCCACAGTGGTTCCTGAGTGCATGTGAAAAGCCACACATCTACCAAAGCTGTTCCCCACTTGTCCTTGGCAAAATCCGTGTTTACTGAACTGTTACCTTCTATTTAACGGAATTAACAAACTCCCTATCGGAAAATGTAAACTCAAAACTAGTGACAAAAGCACGTCATCCCACCGTGGTATGGATTGATGCGCGCATCTGCGTAAGCATAACTGCAGGAAGCACAGAGCCAGCGGGGTGAAAACATGGAAAAAGTGGGAGAAAAGAGATACTCAAATGGAGGAAGTTCGCAAGCACCTTTTCCGCCAGAGTTGCTTTTGAACCTCTTCCTGCCGAGGTATGTTCACGTCTGTTGCACGGTCAGTTGTGACGTTCTTTCTCCCGTTGGAAACGTCTGAATATAACAAGCCCGCGCAGGTCCTGAATTCCAAGCTACCGGTATGCATCAAGAAAAGTGTACGCGGCCTTTGCGGGGCGGCGGGGAGGGACGCCTGGTTGTCGGACTACTTGTTAGAGGCGGCGCGTCTGAGAGCCTGTTGCACGCAGGATGCGCTTCGCTGTCGCCGCGGCACGTGTGAGCGGGGAGGGTTCTGCCCGCGGCCGTTGCGTGTGCGGGGCGCGTCCTTCTTTCTTCGACGGCCGCTCCGCCTGCCGGGTATGAGAGCCGAGCCCAGGCCCCGGCGCTAGCTCCGGTCTTCCCCGAGTGCCTGAGCCTCCGTTACCATGAGCGCGCGCTCTCCGTGCCCAGGGCAGCAGCGAGACAGGTCCCGCGGGCGGAGATCCGTCGCCGCGATCCATTTCTGCGCTCTCGGGCGCGGTGCCTCTGTCGGACTCGCGCGTGATCCCCGGCTCTTTTCCTCACCTGCTGCTCCAGTCCGGAGACCCGGAGCTGCTGCTACGACGGCGGCAAGTAAGTAGGCGTGATCCGTTCCTCTCTTCCTCCTCCGCTCCTTTCTTTCTCTTCCAGAGGCCATCCTGTGCTGCCTGCTCAACCGAAAGTTGCTGGCAAAACTTTCTGCAGTGCCCCAAAACGAGACGCCCCGTTTGCAGCTTCATCCATTCCAGAAGGAAAGAAACTAAGCGCCTCCGGCGATTTAATGCAGATTTGCCATAACAGCTTCCTTGCCTGGTCCTGGAGAAGGGAAATATTGAAGGGTTGATGCGCATAAGGCTTCCTTCTTTCTCTCTCCCCCCCTCCCTAGCGCTCACCCTTTCGCAACTTGCAAATGCAAGTTTTCATCTGTTTTGGAATCGGGAACTGAAAGGAAAGGGTCTTGATCTAATCCGGATTCACGGATATTGCCTACTATTGCTTGAATGGTTTCTTTGCTCAGTGCACCATTTCTACTTAATTCGAGCCTGAAAGCTGGAAAAGCTCTGATGCGTATTGGTGTATGTGTGTACCTTTATTCCCGTTATTTTCATAACTGTCCAATTCTCTCTTCCCAGTCCCTCTTTGAGACAGTTTCATTTTTAAATATCTTTCTCATTTCCTCATCCTTTCCATGCTTATTCAGGAAAAATAAATATGGGTCTGTTGACTCCAGACTACCATAAATCCCACTTCTTACCTAGTGAGATGCCTGGAATTGTAGCTTTCATTTAGCAGGATCCCTTCTCGTTTTCACTTCCACCTGTGACATAGCATTTGTCCTAATGTAGAATCCCATAATTACAAAATGGTTGTTTGGGCTAACTAGTATAACATAAAAGGATTTGATTGCATGGAGCAGTATTTTCCATTGTTTTGTATTCTGTATGTAGGAAGTTCACTTTTGTGTGATCCTGGCTTTCCCAATAAATCAAAGCAGCTTGCTTTGTTTTGCTTGAGGGGCTAAAATGTGTTCAGATAGCAGAATTTATTTCATTTTCAGGCTGTGGTTTGTTCTGGACAGTTGTCAGAGCTTCTCTTCCCCCCCCCCCCTTTTTTTTTTTTTCTCCCTTAACTTTAAGCACCATTCTCTCAGTTTGAACTGTGGGATAGGGATAAGTTAGTTTTCACCATAGTAACCCCTGGTTAGCAGTTCTAAGAAGGAAGCATTGTTACTTTCATTTATTCTAAATGAGTTTCTGTTTACTGACTTCATCAGGAATGCATTTCAATTACTTATCCTTTGCAGCATTTTTTGTTGCAGTCTTTTGATTTTCCCCATGGCTGCAATGCATCTGAAACCTGTTTACTAAGAATATTATGGATTGCTTCTTTATCCCCATTTCATCTTCTCTCAGCAAGGGCAACTCTGTAGCTAGAATTAATTGTGAATAGATTTGGTTTATTTGCACAATTCTGCTCTAGAAAGGAGAAGTTAACTTTTCAGTAGTTAGGGCCTGAGGTTGGTCATTGTTTTCTCTTTTAAATAGAAGATTAAGCTAAAACTTTGACATAGTATTGAATTTCTTGGTTGCTTTCCCCAGATTCCTTGGGATAAAATTGGACAACTTAATAGCTGCAGGTTAGATAATTAAGCAAAATTCTTGTCTTATATTGGTGAAAACTCAGATATGCCGCTACTGTCATTTTTGCTACAGCTTCCATAACTCACTTTTATCAGTACAGAGCTAAAATTTAATATTATATGGGTTTTAAAGCTAGCAAATCAGAATTTGAAAAGTATTTTGAATGGCAGATACATAATACCTCTCTGGCTGGTTTTTAAGGCTTTTTATGACACAATGCTTTCTCTATGTGTTGGATTTGACTTCTCATTATCCCTATAGGGATAGTCATGGGAGAAAGCTTACCTAAGAAGTGCTATCTTTGTTTATGCGGTAGAGATAAATCTTTTGAAATTTGGAGCTTTCCTTCACTTTATTGCTATAAAGTAGATCAGAGAAAAATTAATATTGAATTAGCAATAATAACTAATCTAGCACTTGTTTTCATTAGCCATTCAGTGCCTTCCACTCTTCTGGTCAACTAATACCCAGAGTTTCTGGCCTGTGGAAGTCACTTAAGGCCATCACAACTTTCAGCTGTCAGCAGCTATTTCCTCCATAAAAAACGACAAGTTCTTTTAATTTCTCTTGGTAATGTCTTTTTGAAAAGGCCATTCATTATGTTGGGACATGAACACATTTTACTATAGGGAGGAATAATAAATGGCAGTTAAGCTTTCCCAGCCCTCAGAAGTCTGTTCAGACTTTCATGGTTTATAGCATTTTATAGCACATTATCATTTTCATCCAAGAAGCTGCTCTGCAGTTGCCTGCAACACAAAATGGTAGCAAGTTCTTTTCACAGGATCACTGATTACATCAGAGATGCATTGCAGAAATCAGAAATGCTGCAGAGGAAATTTGAAAGTGGCATTTTAACACTGAAGTTGCTGCCTCTGTTCCCTCATTTGAGAAGGACAAAAATTCTGTTCCATTTGACTTGACAAGGTCTTCCTGCTTCTTGCAGAGAGAGAGAACTAATCATACAGCTTCCTAAATCTGATTTTGTGAATATAGTGAGGGTGGGGCTTTTTTTCCCTTTATTACACAAAATGTTGTTGCTTAGGAGATACATTGTCCAATTCTGTGCATACTCATTGAAAAATAAGTAATCCTGTTGAATGGGATTTAATTCAATTTGACGTACATAGGATTTTATCCTATAGGGTTTTTTTTTCAACTTTATGGTTTTAAGAGGGTCTCTGTATGTCACCCATTCTTTTGCGTGAAAGTTGTTTCAGCATGGAATGGAACAGGAGCACATTCAGTAGTACTTTTTGCCCAAAGTCACAAATAGTTATTAAACATCAATTTTCCTTAAGTTGGCGACCTCCAGTTGGGCTGGACTGTAGTTTCAGTCTTCTGGGTATCATGGCTAAAGAAAAGAGTATTTGGGATCCAGCCCAGATAGAGGGTGCCAGATTAAGAAAAGGCTCCCATACATTACAGCTGGGTTTACAGAAGATGTTTAAATGAATTATTGAACAGACATATTTTCTGGACCTGTATAATACTTGGTTTCCCAGCAAGCAAAAGAGCTGTGATTTCCCAACACAATAAGGCCCCAAGAAAGTAATCAAATTTATCAGGCAGGGTAAATACAGCCATTAAGCTTTAAATATATTTTGTAAACCTGATCGATCTAAAACATCATAACTTCTCTATAAACATCTTCTGCTAGCTGCTGGACAGAGGCTGTAGAATGTGAAGCACATTTTTACTTATTTATTTCTCTGCAGGATAAAATTGTCTATCTATTTTCATGAAGCACATAATATCTGCAAGCTGACCTAGAAGTTATCTCTTTTTCCTTGAAGCCTGCAAAAATCTTTTCCTATCTAAATGTTTTATTGCACAAAGCCTTGTTTTGTCAGACAGGATTCAGGGTGAATCCAGAGAAACTTTTACTTGAACAAGGTGGCAAAGATTGGAAGCTGAATGTTGGTATTTGTTTGTCACAGATGGCCAGTTCTTCCTATGTAACTTGATTGAAAATCTTAGAGGATAGCGATCAGAATACCAATGTCCTGGAGAACTTCTGTCCATTCCATCATGAAAGCAAAAGCTAGTAATGGTAAGATATGAGAGAGATCCTGGAAACTCTTCCTCCAGATGGTGTCAAGGGAAACTCCAGCCTTCCTTTTTCACACATAAACATATGCCCTGCTGGCTAAATATGGATGAGTACTGCCAGCTGGCATGAAAGAAATTGACCATTTCACAATCCTGTTATTCCTCATATGAAGAGAGCTTAGTAAATATGGCTTAATATTAACCAAGCTAATCTAGGATATGGACTCCAAACAACACAGCAAACCACATCTAGCTATGGTCTGCCAATTTCCCTTATTTCTGGTTAGTATTTCAGAAGCTTTTGTATGTCTGGCTACTTCTCCATCCCCAAATGTCCTTGCACTAGAAGATTGGTTGATCTATATCATCACCTTGTTCCTGCACAAGATTAGAGCTAAGTCATCAGAAGGAAGGTGGCAGAAAGCTGATTTTTTTTTCTCCAGTTTTCCCCCCATCTTTGTTTTCAAAGTGAAGGCTGGTGTACCTTGATAAATTAAAAATGAATAGGAAGCAGCAAAACAGTTATCCAATGGTTTCGAGATCCTGCACCTTTTTCTTGAAGGAATCAAGTATGCTACTGATATGTGCACTATACAGATCAAGCCATGTTGTTCACATCATATTGTAATATATCTAAAAGACATTATAAAAAAAACAGATGTATTGCTTCCTAGAGAAGAAAGATACACTGGATAGGACAGTAGCCACAAATAAAATCAAGTGGAGAAGTAATAATATCAAAATGGATCCCTTGAGTTAAATTCCTAATGATTATATTCATAGAATTTTCTTGGTAGCATTATGGAGTTGCAATTTCCTCCTATTTGGTGACATCAAGCCAATCCTGGCTGTCTTTGTAAAACTGAATTAGGTTTGGGCTTGATTTGTTCTGGGTGGGACCCATCAGAGTGGTAGGCTAGACTGGGAAGTAGAAAGAATATCTGGAACATTCTGCTAGTAAAACATTGCCATATTGTTACCAAGAAAACCACATTGGACATGTCTGGAAAGTCAGCAGAGAGGTTTGCTCAGCAGAGTAGAGCCTTTTCTACTGCTAAGTGGGAGCAGGAAAACAAATAAAATATTTTCCTCAAGTACCAGATACAATAGTGATAGCCTTCCAAATTTTGCTAACAATCTCCTCTGTTAAATCTTGGCAACATGATCCAGAGAGAAAAATACTCCCTCAAGAGGTTGTCTGTGGACCATGGAGCAAAGCAGGCTGTGAACCATGGAAAGAAGGACAGAGAAGATGGGGGGGGACACGAACACATGCACCTCCCTCCTCCTCAGTTCTAGCAGACTCTAAAACTCGGGCCTAATGTCTACCCCACAACATTCAATTACTTCCTTCTGTAATAGAAATATGCATCTATATCATCCCGTCTCTTGCTCTCTCCACTGTAAAATACCCCCCTACCTCTCTTCTGCCTTGGCCAGTCCACCAGGACTAATAACCAGTTTAAGATGCCACTTATAAGAAGGATGTTAAGAAAATTGACCCCAAGAGGTTGGACAAAGCTGAAGAGGGTCTCAGAGACCAAATCAGAGAAACATTGGAATATAGTAAGGTCAAAAGACAGTACAGTACTATCTTCAAATATTAATAAGCTTTAATATATGTCTTCATTCTTGCTGACCTACCTCGCATCAGGAGCTCTTAATTCATTAAGTTTAAATGGCACTTAAACAGAACCCTTGCTGGTTTTGAAAGAAGAGAAAGGTCATCACTAAACTGGAAGCAACTCTGTGTGTTACAGATTTCTCAGACTTGACTTTCTGGATCTCTTCCACAAACTAATCTAAACTGAATGTCAAGTGAACCTAAAAACTGACGAAGTAAGAGGAGTTGAATGGCAAATAGTGCCTTCATGCTGTACATGATATGTAGGCATGTTGTAAGCTGCCTAGAGTAGTCCCACAGTAAGTTAGGCAGCAAATAAATTTAACAAATAAATGGGGAATGTATATTCATATGTACATTTATTCTCTTATATTGGTAACATGAAGAACCCTATTTGGTCAATTGCCCAATTCTGGACTATTTCCAAAAGATACTGACAAACATGCGAAGGCTGAGAATATTACTGTTTCTTTTTTAATTTTTACTAGAATTTTACAGTACAATAAAAGCATAAAAAATGAAAAGAACAATAAAAAGATAGGAAATAAGAAAAAAAATGAAAACAGAAAACAGGAGAAAGCCCTATAGAATTTTGAATCCCACCTTTCTTTGTATTGAGTAATTGCCTTCTTTTTCTTCTTCCTTTATCCTTCTAAATTCCAAATCCATAAGACATTAGTTCAGTCTTCAGACTTCAGCAAGAAGTCCCTATATGGCTTCCAGTCTTTTAAAAAAAAGTCTGCAGTTTTTGAGTATATTACTGTTTTAATGTACTTATTTAAGAAATGTATATGCTGTCTTTCAGGGGGAGGTTCATGGTAAATATAACCTCAAATTAAACAAGATAGGTCTGGATAAATCAACCCTGATCTGATTCCAGCTGGATGTTTGTGTTTCAAGAGCAAGGCTCTATTCAAGTTTATGATTTGGGATTCAGTATCCACCTGATAGCGTTTATCTGCCTTCAAGATTCAATCCATAGTCTGTGATGGGAAAACTTCAACATGTCTGAAGCTGCTTCATTTTTGGCAGATGAAGATAAAAGTAGCAAAGATGCTAGACCCAGCCAAAGACTTTAAAACTGCCAAATTTGTTTTGAAAACTTTCAAGAGTTTTATTACAATACCATTTTAAAATATATCCCCATCAACCTTTAAAGAGAAAGTTGCAGATGATAAAAGAACAGTGCAACAGATTCAAAATGTAAAACAGGTTCAGAATAGGATAATTGAACCATAGAGAATGCATCATTGGTAACCTTACCACTTGCTATTTTTAGAGCACGAAACATGGAATATTGCCTATTAAGAACATCCATTCACTTATTATCAAGAGTCTTAAATCAAACCAGAATTGAAACTGAACAGAGTTCCCACATGTTGAGAAGATGGGCATGGAAATATAACATTGTATAAGCACATAGAAAGCAAATATTTTATAGAAGAGCTGTGGGATATGTTAGTAACCACACAATTTATCTTTTTGATAATCTTTGATTACTTTAAAAAATAGTAGTTTTGCAGAGATGTGTTTAAATTATGGAAACAACACTTTGTAAAACAGTGGTTCTCAACCTTTTTAATGCCGCGACCCCCAACCGGTCGTAAGTCGAGGACTAAACCAGTCGTAAGTCGAGGACTAAACCGGTCGTAAGTCAAGGACTACCCAGCCGGTCGTAAGTCGAGGACTTTCCCTGCCCGGGAACGCCATGCATGCGTGGTGCCGCCCCCTGTGCCGGCTGAGACGTAGCTGGCAAGCGGCAGAGATGGAGCAGGCCGACCACTGGCTGGGCCACCAGCTGGCCCACCCCAAGGGAGGTAAGGCACCCACCGGAAAAGGGGGAAAAATGGTGGACAGCCTCACTTGGTGACCCCCGTGAAATGGTCGATCAACCCCAAATGGGGTCCCGACCCATAGGTTGAGAACCGCTGTTGTAAAATGTCAGAAAAATTACTAAATGAGATTTCTAAGGGTCAATCAGTATTCGTCTCCCTCCTCATGACAGATAGAACCAATGATGTATCATAATAAGATTTGCAAAATGTTTTAAAAAGTCAACTTACTATATGTAGTTTTACTTAAATAGGAGGATGTATACTGATCACAGAATTTGAATAACCTTGGTGTACAACCATGATCAATTTATTGTTTTAGGACTAATAGCACTCTGTCCTAGATTTCCCCCCATACAATTAGTTTCTGCACCCAGAAATTTGTAGAATGGAAAATAGCACCATACCTTGACAGTTGTACAATACACAGTAAATTTCACCATAAGAAATTGTGTGATTGAGGGAAAAGGTTCTGCAGAGACTTCTCCCCCTAGTGAACCTAGCAAGAATTAATGAGTAATATAATCAGCCTGCATTAGTAACTTTATTCACTAATACATGAATTACAGGCTCTAAATCTAGAAACAAGATTTATTAGTGACATATCTCTTCTAGGTGCTATTAGCTACTCTCCTAGCCTGGTATCTGCATTGTACAGCCCCAGATTACATCTTCTTAAAAGAGATGTTCCACCAAAAATGTAGATTTGACTCCTGCATATATTTGCTACTTTTCCAGCATTCTTTCCTTCCCCTAGATCCATTCCCATATCAAATATTTTATATAATTTTATCTTCATACTCTTATAAATGGAGCGGCATGGTGGCTCAGTGGTTAAGACACTGGCCTTGTCAGCTAGAAAGCCAGCAGCCCAGGTTTGAGAACTGAGCACCACCCGTCGTCACTCCAGCTCCTGCCAACCTAGCAATTCGAAAACATGCAAAAGCAAGTAGATAAATAGGTACCACTTTGGTGGGAAGGTAACAGCACTCCATGACATCATGCTGGCCACATGACCACAGAAATGTCTTCAGACAGCGCTGACTCAATTGAAAGTGAGATGAGCACTGCCCCCTAGAGTCACCAACAACTAGCGGAGTAAAGTCTGCAAAGACTTCTTTTACCTCTATAAATTATTTCCATTTCATACTACCTGTATATCAGTGATCTGCCAGATTGCAATGGTGGTGCCAGAGTTCCCATAATCCCCCAAAGTATCCATGAACTCCAAATAGAATAATAACAATAGGTGGAATCTCATGAATCACGAATCTTCATGACTTTTACATGAGGCCTTGCGAGATTTCAATAAGCAACAATAACTGGAAGGAGGATATAGAAATTTCCAATAGTTGGCTGTTTCCATTGTTAAATTTTTATTTTTTGGTTCTTGTGCAAATCCCATGCAAATTATTCCCTCCCTTCCCCAATACCCAACATCGTATGAGGTACAGACATGAACTGATACTTTGTTTTCCCCCTTCATTTTAGAAATTTGTAACTGAAGCCCTAAAGTGATGTGAAGTAAGCCGGTGATCAAGATGACTCTTCTCCCAGGAGAAAATTCAGACTATGACTACAGTGCCCTCAGCTGTGCTTCAGATGCCTCCTTCAACCACCCTTTCTTTGCTGAAAGAGAAACTCTGAAAGGAGTCTTCTATCAAAGAGCTAAGCGTCTCCACCCTGGCAAAGACCTCTATGAAAGTGTTTGCCCAGAAGAAAGGAAACACCATATCATCATTAACGTGGGTGGCTTCAAATACTTGCTCCCCTGGACCACTCTTGATGAGTTCCCCATGACTCGCTTGGGACAGCTAAAATTCTGCAACAATTTTGACGATATCCTCAATATTTGTGACGATTATGATGTGACTTGCAACGAGTTCTTCTTTGATCGCAACCCAGGAGCATTTAGGACCATCTTGACTTTTCTGCAGGCAGGGAAGCTCCGACTTTTGAGGGAGATGTGCGCCCTCTCCTTCCAGGAAGAGTTGCTTTACTGGGGCATTGAGGAGAACAGCCTAGAGTGGTGCTGCAAGAGAAGATACCTCCAGAAGATGGAGGAATTTGCAGAAATGAACGAACCAGAGGACGAGTTCACTGATTGCGAAAACCCTTCTGAAGCAGCAGAGCCAAAAACCAGCCGGTGCATGAAAAAGTTACAGGACATGGTGGAGAAGCCTCAGTCAGGTATCCCAGGGAAAGTGTTTGCCTGTTTATCGGTCCTCTTTGTAACAGTCACAGCAGTTAATCTGTCTATCAGCACCATGCCTGGGTTACGAGAAGAAGAGGAACGCGTAAGTTGTCGGGGAGGGGGGGAAGGGGATTACTTGAAATTATCTCATTATCTGGAATTATTCTCTTTGCTCACCCTTTGGATCCTCTTTTTGTGCAAGCAATTATGTTGGTCATAGCAACTGTGAAAGGGACCTCGGATTGCTAGTGAACAATCAACTAAATATGAGCCAGCAGTGGGTGGCAGCACCCAAAAAAGCCAATGCAATCCTAGGTTGCATTAACAGAGGGATAGAATCAAGATCATGTGAAGTCTTAATACAGCTCTATAAAGCCTTAGTAAGGCCACACCTAGAATATAGCATCCAGTTTTGGTTACCACGAAATAAAAAAACGTAGACACCTTGGAAAGAGTGCAGAGAAGACCAACAAAGATGATTAAGGGCCGAGAGGCTAAAACAGCCACTAAATGAACTATTGTTAAGTCAAGGATTACTTCTTATCTATTAGATGAATGTGGATAGATTTACAATAGGTGCAAATGTGCATTTTTGTGGTGGACTGACCTCTTTTCTCCCCCACTTCCCTGGGGAATGTACTTCTTTTGAACTGAGTTTTGGTTTCCACTTTTGCTTCATGGTTCTCACCTTGATTCAGGTGTGTTGATAATAGAGGTACTTAACTGCCATTCAGTGGCATGCTAGAAATCTTCACCTGAAATGCTGGGGCTGTTTTGGAGCATTTGACAGAAGAGCAAGGCCAAAGCGAAGCCAACATGCATCCTGAAGGAGAGTTCATTCAGAACTGCTTTTTTTAAAGGATGCAGCTCATTTAATAAAGCCTTAAAAACAGAATGAAGAGTTCTCCAGCACTGGAGATGGAGAATCCACCAATGGGTTTAGACTGTGTTCCTACTCAATCAGATCAAGTCAGCCAAACTTGCAACACCTGTCCTGGACTAAGGTGTCCCAGTCTCGACTTGATCTTGCCCAGGACAGACGTGCAAGTTTGGCTCATAGGCAGGTAGATTTCCCATTGGTGGATTTTCTATTTTCCTCAGTCTTCTGAGCAGCACTACAACCAGCGCAGTTTTCAGCCTGACTGCTCCATTTTCAAAAACGATAACATCTTTCTCCTTCCTTGAGGAACGGAGGCTTCCACTAAAGTAAAGTCTTGAAGCTGAGGGAAGCTGCCTTCCCTCTGCAACAAGGCTTACCTTCTCTCCCTTGGGCAGCACTGAGATCAGTGCTACATTTTATTTCCTTTCTTCCTAGCTTCCGAGGATCGTCCTCTCAAGCTTTCCCTCCTTACCAGACCCTGCGGCTGTAGTGCTGACTACCAAACGCGCGCAAGCTAAAAACGGCCATTTGAAGCCAGCACATGTTCGGAAAGTCCCCGCTTCTTCTCTTTGCCTTTCCAGCCTATGATCGCCTCTCTAATCTTTTTTGAAGATTTCTCTCTTACTGGAGCCTGTGACTGCAGCTCTGAAGGCAGAACACGCGCACAAGCTGAAAACGGCCGCTTGAGGCTAGCGTGTGTTCGGGAAGTGCTCAGGCAGGCTTCCCCGGCATTTATCTCTCGGTGACGGCCCTCCAGGGGGTGATCATCAGGGGACCCCAGATAGAGAACAGGGGAGGTGATCAAAGTAGCTTCCCCCTTCAACAGGCTCCATTTGTAAATCCCTTGGGCGGCCATCATTTTGTGGCCTGCGCAAGGCCTTTTGCCTCATACAGCCGCCATTTTTAGTCCTGTGCGGCCTTTGCCGTGTGCCGGGCCTGTGGGGCACTCACAGAGAGGGGAAATCTCTCCCCGATCACCTTATCTTTATTTGCAATTCCTCACCCTCGGAGGGGGCCGAATTCTCCTTTCCCCTGTTTCATTCTCCTTCTCATTTATATAGGGGAACCACCTCAGTTTACGGCCGCCATCTTGAAAGGCAGGCCGCATTCATTCAACTCCCTGTGGGCCGTAGACAAGAGCTTCCTTACAGTTGGGTAGAAAGTGGATTCACATTTTTTCTGTCCAAATTAGTCAATTCTAATTACAATACTGCATCTAGATCTCAGGTTCTGGGCTCGGTGTCTCCATACCTGGTCACTTAGAGGTGGGCAGTGAGTGCTGTGACATTGCACAGGGGACTTTGCCGTCCCACAGTCCTGCGCACCGCGTACGCTGTATTGCCACTCTTCAAGTAGCTGGCTCGGCAACACTACGTGGCTGCTCACACAACCAGTCAATCAAACAGTACCACCTTCGTGACCCGGGGGGGGCAGGGTGACCAGTATCATCCCCTGCTCTTGATTTTCTCCTTCCCGCCTACGCTGTATCAGGATACCAGGGGTACCCTCTTGTGCACCTGAGTTTATCCACCAGGATGGAGGACACTACGGCTTCCACGAAGAAGGATGTCTTACCTCCTTCCTCGGCCCCAAAACGGCACAGATCCTCCAATCAGGAGACCACAGACAAGATTTCAGCCAAGGCCAAGGCCAGATCTGTGGCAAAACCCTCCAAAACGGCGGAGAAACATGCCAGCAGGAGACACCAACCTCTGGAGAAAGAGTTCTCCAAAGCACAAAAGCAGGCCAGGATTGAGACTAAACAGGCCGAAGCGCCCCCTTTCGATTTACCTCTGGGCCTCTCCACCTCATCCCAGGGGGTCTGGTCACCAGGGGAACTTCTCACCTCTCCTGTACCTTGTGACCCAGTCTGCGCTAATCCCATCTCTCAGCCTCCCACTCCACGGACCCAACACTCGGTCCCAGAAGCCACCTTCACCCCCACTGCGGCTGGACTCAGGACAGCCAAGCCGGTCACCTTTCCCCCGGAGGACCGCTTTCAGGCACTGATTGCACAGGCGGTAGAGCGTGCTCTCGAGGCCAGGTCGCAGGTATCCAGGGCAGAGTCGGTCATTTCCCTCCCGATTCCCCAGTCAGCTACCGCGGGTTACCACGTGCCTTCTTCCTCGTCCCAGTCCTCAAATACCGGGGCTTCATCCCCCCATGAGTACGATGCTGATTTAGATGCCCCATGGTCAGACGAGGATGAACCGTCCCCGGAACCACCATCATTTAGTGGTCTGTTTAATTCTTCTCTTTTTCTACTCCTGCTCTGCAAGGCCAGCTCCACAGCTAACATGGGGCCCAATCGCTCGGCACCAAGAACTGCAACCTCACCAGACTCAGGCCGATTCGGTCTTCACCGAACCGGTAACGACCCAACACCATGTGCCCTGTCCACCCCTTTTTCTCAATGCGGTCCCTGGGCACCTTTCCCCAGTGGGAATGACAAAAAGCTGTTCAGCGTTGCCCAAGATTTGGCTGATGCGCTGGAGGTGCCCGTGGTGGACGAGCCCCTGGGTCCCCTTGTATCCCCCATTGCCATTCCAGGTGATATATCTAAGGCCCTGAAGGCAGAGGATCGCAGATGGGAACTCATGTTCTGCAAAACCCATCAAGCTGCGCCGTGGGCTATTATAGCTACCACTTCTGCATCCTTTTTTACTAGGTCCTCTCTCCTCTGGCTCCAGCAGCTTCATACCAGGGTTCCTGCAGAGGGTATCCGCACACATCAGGACCTGAGTAAACTAGTAGAGGCCGGGGAATATGCTTCTGACGCTACACTACACGCCGCCAGATTTTCTTCCAGGGCCATGGCATCTAATGTTACTGCATGCCAAATGCTCTGGTTAAAGCACTGATATGCTGATGCCAAGTCTAAATGGCGCTTTTCAGCAGCCCCGTACCAGAGAGGAAAACTGTTTGTGGAGGCTCTCGAGCCATACCTGACAGAGAACAAGGACAAACATAAGATGCTTAACCATCTCATTAAATGCGCCGACAGACGGGCCAATCCTTAATGCTCAGAGACAGTCTTTCGGGCAGGAGCTAGGCCCAGCTATACCCATCCCAACCATCCCTTTCCTGTCAGGCAAGACAGACAGCCTGACCGACCGGTCTTCAGACCCAGGCAACAATTTCAGGGCAAATGGCCCTTTCGCAGGAGCAGCCGCTCATTCCACCGGTCCAAGTGACTCTCGGGTGGCTCCTCCCATTGGGGGCAGACTATCTCTCTTTGCCCATCAGTGGGAGGTCACCACCACAGACGCCTGGGTCCATTCATCACGGACTGTCCCTGGAATTTGTCTCCAACCCTCTGAATAGTTTCATTTCTTGTCCTCAATTAAGAAATCCCACAAAGAAAAAACTAATGCAAGAGGCCATTTGTCACCTCTTAAGCATAAGGGCCATAGAACCGGTGCCGCTGGATCAGAGAGGTTGGGGATTTTACTCCATCCTCTTCGTCATTCCCAAAACCTTGGGGGGGATGGAGAGCTATCCTAGACCTAAAAGGGTTAAATTATCATCTTGCATACCGAAAATTCAAGATGCAAACGCTCCAGTCCATCTTGGGAAGCGTAAGAAGGGGAGACTTCCTGACATCCATCGACCTCACAGAAGCGTATCTCCACATCTCCATCTCTCTCAACCACTGCCGGTTTCTGAGGTTCGTCCACAGGGGTCACCATTACCAGTACAAGGCACTCTCGTTCAGCCTGTCCTCAGCTCCAAGAGTCTTTACCAAGATCCTGGCGGTTCTGGCCGCTCACCTGAGAATGGTACCTGTCAGAGTCCAGTGTTACCTGGACGACATTCTAATCCAGTCATTGTCAGTCAAGGCCGCTCAGTCGGACCTCGAACTGGTGATAAAGGTGCTCCAGAGGCACGGATTCTCAGTAAATTTCTCCAAGAGCCATAAGGTCCCCATGACCAGGCTATTGCACCTAGGGGCCGTCATAGACATGGTAGAATGCTGGGTCTATCTCTCTCAGGAGCGCCGGGACAGCATCCGGGAGTTGATCCTCCACATGTGCAGGGAACGAACGATGACGTTGGCCATTTTTTCCCAATTACTAGGGAAAATGATTTCGGCCATAACAATCGTCCTATGGGCCAGGCTTCATTCCAGGAACCTTCAGTGGTTCCTGCTCCCCTTCCAAAGACTGAACATCAGTTCTTCCAATCGAAGGGTAAGAGCCCCTCATCGCATCTTGCGATCCCTCAGGTGGTGGCTCTCGCCAGCCATGCTCAGGGGGGTCCTACTTCAAGGAACCCGATCGACTCACCCTTGCGACCGACACCAGCTGGGGAGCGCACTTTCGATCACAGTGGTCCCGCTCCGACCTTTGGCACAATATCAACTGGCTGGAGCTCAGGGCCATTCACCTGGCTCTCCGTCACTTCCGCAGCATGGTAGCAAAGTGTCACGTATTGATCCTCACAGACAACGTAGTGGCAAAGGCCCATGTGAACCGGCAAGGGGGCACCCGATCCTGTGCATTCTTGACCGAGGCTCTTCTGCTAGGCTCCTGGACAGAGACCAACCTCGCCTCCATCAAGGCCGACCACATATCTGGGGAGGCGAACAGAAGGCGGACTTCCTGAGCAGATCGACGGTGGACCACTCAGAATGGCGTCTGCATCCGGATATCTTCAGGGAGATCTCTGATTGCTTCGGATTGCCGATAATAGACCTCTTTGCCTCCCCAATGAACACTCATCTACCGAGGTTCTTCTCCCGTTTCCCATCTCTAGGGGCATAACGGACAGATGCTCATCGGAGCCCGTGGCTGGAGGGACTGTTCTACACCTTTCCCCCTCTCCATTTTCTTCTGGCGGTCGTCCACAAGCTTCTTCAGGAGAGGGCGAAGATTCTTCTAGTGGCCCCGTACTGGCCACAGAGACCATGGTTCACCGACCTTGTGAACCTTTCCATAGCGACCCCATGGAGGATTCCCCCGGATCGGGTCTCACTCAGCCAGGGGACCCTTCTTCATCCGGATCCCCAATGGCTCCAGTTAGCCGCCTGCCACTTGAGCGCAGCACCTTATCCCAGGAGTCCTGCTCGCCAGGCGTCATTACCATGATCCAGGCCTCCCGTCGGCCCTCTACCAACCATATTTATGAGGCCACATGGAGGAACTTCTGTTTGTGGTGCATGAACCATCACTTGACCATACCAGACTTAACGATCCCAAAAATATTGGACTACCTTCTGGAGAGTCTGGAGAGGGGCTTGGCCCCGAACACGTTATGTAGACAAGTCGCTGCTCTCTCCACCTTACTTACCTGTGACACCGCAGTATCCCTTGGTCAACATCCATTGATTCGCTTGTTCATCAAGGGTGCCACAAACACCAAGCCCCCTGTAGTACATAGGTACCCTTCTTGGGAATTGCTGCGGGTTCTTCGGGCTCTCACCAGACCGCCCTTTGAGTCTCTCAGAACATGTGATCTGCGATCCTTATCTCACAAGATCGCCTTCCTGGTGGCAATTACTTCCGTGCGACGGATATCAGAATTAGCGGCTCTTTCCACCAGGGATGCCTTATGCATCTTTCACCGGGACTGAGTGGTCCTTCTTCTAGACCCTACCTTTCTCCCTAAGGTCAATTCTCTATTCCACAGGGCTCAGGAAATCGTGCTTCCAGATTTCTGCCCTAATCCATCTCATGCCCTGGAACGGC